CGTCAAAACATACCTATCCAGCATATGCTGTTTTTTTCAACAGGGTTATTGTTGAGCGACATGCTTAGGCGTAATATTTGCGTAATTTATCTACCACAATTAAACTAGCATTAGCGTACTACCATTTCCCACAAACAACTAGCCTAATAACCTTGTGAACTTTATCGAGTCTGATTAGCTGATTTGGATTTGCTCAACGTTGTCAGTCTGAGCAACGGTTTCTGTTTGTTCTCCAGGTGTGTTTGGTGATTTTGTGATGGAGGGAGATTCTGTCACGCTACACACTGATCTTACTGATCTACAGAAATATGAACGTATACTGTGGACATTTGGACCTGGCCGCACTCGAATAGCTCAAATCAACAATGTAGTCAATAAGATCTCATTATACAATGATGTTCTTGATGGGAAATTCAGAGACAGGCTGCAGCTGGATGATCGGACTGGATCTCTGACCATCACAAACACCACAACTGAAGACTCTGGACTTTATGAACTGCAGATCGTTGGTGGGATAGAGGTCCCGCCATTGAAGTTCAGTATTATTGTTTCTGGTGAGTATTTTGTAGTTGATTTCAGTGTATTGCAACATCGAACCATATTGAGAATACTGTACTAGTCACTTGAGTCAGTCAGCAGGTCAAATGCAAAATTAGCCAAGTCACAGATTGTTACTTTGGTAACTTTTCTATCCTTCTATCATCCTATATCCTCTTGGAGACAACACCAAGCTGCATGTACAGTATCTGGTTTCTTTTGTAAAGGGTGAAATGAGACCCGAGTCACAGCCTGGTATGTGTAATTTGTGGCAAGCGACCCAGAGAGACGAAACTAGTGGAAATTTACATATGTTGTGTTCAGGACTTTTACAATTGCATTTTTACTTTTTAATAATAATAACAACGTTTAATTTATATAGTGCCTTTCCCAAGCTCAAGGATGCTTCTCAATGACAATTTTTTCAGTATTATGATTTATTTCCTAGTCACTGAGAAGACATGGATGCTGGTAAATAGATATGAGTAAAACTCAACTGCACGATTTTGGATTGTCTGTTATTCTGATATTTTCATCTTCAGCTCCTCTGCCTGTTCCTGTCATCAGCAGAAACGCTTCTCAGTGTTCTTCATCATCATCATCATCATATTGTTCATTGTTGTGTTCAGTGGTGAATGTGGGGCATGTGACTCTCTCCTGGTACAAAGGAAACAGTTTATTGTCCAGCATCAGTGTGTCTGATCTCAGCATCAGTCTCTCTCTTCCTCTGGAGGTGGAATATCAGGAGAAAAACAGCTACAGCTGTGTGCTCAACAATCCCATCAGCAAGCAGACTCAACATCTGGACATCAGCAAACTCTGTCTCACATGTTCAGGTACAGCAGAGCTGATATTAGTTGATGTCAGTGCTGATATAAACTGATTTGTTCAGTTCTCTAATTTTTCAACTTGCACTACTATTTTATAGTGGATGCATCAAGTTTAATCCCAGAAGATGGCTTACCCTTAAGTCACATGGTGCTGATCTGCGTTAGTGTTGTAGTTACTGTACTAGTCTTGGCTGCAGCTGGGATGCTCAGTATCTACTGGAAATACAGGAACACAAATCAACTGGGCAAGTTTACTTAAAGTTAATAGAGCAAGATGAGCTTTATTGTGCAAGCATGTAATTTTAACCACATTTATGTAATTGATTTACTTAATTGTTTAAGTCTGTGGTTTGTGTTTAAACAGGCCAGACCCCTAAACAAGAATACACTGAGATGAACAAAGGTAAGACACTGTATTACTGCATCCAGTAGCGATATGGCAAAAATATCATATAATATTCCTGCTGTTTTTTTTTAAAGACTATTTTGTAATAAAAACTAGTTGGCCCTACTAGCCTTACTAATATAAATAAAAACACATAAACAGTCAGAACAAAGATACAAATTACAAGCAATTGAACAAATAAACACAATTGAATGTTACAAATGAAATAAACAGCCATTTAAATTCGAATCATCTAAAAATTCCAATGTAAAATACAGTACCGTATTAATGAAATCTACATTGATTATTAATCAAGCTAAAAAAATGATTAGGACAAAAGCAGTGAGGTTAGGCTGCTGTCACTTTAAGACCTAACTCACACAGATCTAATATACTGACGTCTGATTTTCTCCCTTCTCGGTCATCAGATGCCATTACAAAGAAACAATGCATCTGCTATAGTTATTAAAAATATACAATACTTCTACTGAATATTTACTCCCCGTCTAGGTTCTCCAGGTGATGATTTGGCTGAGACGGATGAACTGAAGACAGTATCAGTGAGGGTGGGAGAGACGGTCACTCTAAACACTGGTGTTACTGCAATAAAAAGTTTTGATGTGCTGCAGTGGAGGTTTGGAGAATTAAACACAGACAGCACAAACCCATTCATTGTCTTTGCCAGGCTGAATGAACAAAGCAATTTCGATGGTACTGGTCATTATGAGACATTCAGAAACAGAGTACAGCTGGATCAACAAAACGGATATCTCACAATTAATGACATCAGACCCACAGACTTTGGAATCTATAAACTAAATATCTCCAGGAATGGGAAAAATGTGATTTCCAAGACATTTATCATCCGAGGCGAGTAGCTCAAATCATTTAGTCGAATAAAGATCCTTTAACACTGAAACGACCAATTAATTCATGTAAAATTGACCAAATCTGAGCTATATTTTTCAAACAATAATTTTTTGATTCAGATAATAATCTTTTTGTTTTTACAGATTCCTCAGAAAACAGAGGGAATGTGCCAGAGGAGACAATAGCGTTAATGAATGGAGAGATTACTGCAAACACTGGTCTATAGTGACTGTTACATTATCCTTTATTTTTATAAAACGTCTCTACTTTTTGAGCCTTTAAAGTGGAAAATGTTTGAAATGAACACTGCATACTGTTAACCTGTGAAAAGTATCATAACAAAGCATTTATTTATTTTTTGGTTATGGTTATTTTACTGTTGATGGAACATGTTGCTATTAATTGTGATCTTGCCTGTTGTGCAGATATTCCTGTTATATACATTGCATGTATGTTACATTGGTGTCAATTTGACAGTTTTGATCAGTGTTAATGAACAAAACTACATTTTTGAACGTTTTCCTCCCTCTAGTGGACAATCTAAAGGATGTGTGTTCGTAAACAGTTTTATAATGTAAGTGAGACGCTGAAATTTTGGTCTGAATGTCATTTCAGCCTCAAGGACAAAATATGTGATAACAATAATACACTTTTTTTAAAGTAAGTGTTCTGTAAATTGTGGGTAAACCTCTGACCATTATATACAATGCAAACACAGATTTGCTGTAAAATCTGTAAATTTTAACTGTACATGGTAAGGTAACTTACAGTACAGTTAGCTTATTAATAGGATTTTACTGATTTATTTTTTTAAAAAAGAGATGAAATTCGACAAAAAAAAATAGTTGACCTTGAACTTTGACCTAGAGGTGGGACTTACTTTCTAACACAATCATTTACGGTGTGCTCGCACCACCTTCAATAAAACATTTTGACATTTAGTTTTGGCATTTTATCACATTTGACATACTGGTGTGGGAGGGGTCCATGTACGTATTGATACCCCGATAGCACACGTACATCACAGATGTCTATAATAATAAACTTTTTTTAAAGTAAGTGTTCTGTAAATTGTGGGTAAACCTCTGACCATTATATACAATGCAAACACAGATTTGCTGTAAAATCTGTCAATTTTAACTGTACATGGTAAGGTAACTTACAGTACAGTTAGCTTATTAATAGGATTTTACTGATTTATTTTTTTTTAAAAAAGAGATGAAATTCGACAAAAAAAAATAGTTGACCTTGAACTTTGACCTAGAGGTGGCACTTACTTTCTAACACAATCATTTACTGTGTGCTCGCACCACCTTCAATAAAACATTTTGACATTTAGTTTTGGCATTTTATCACATTTGACATACTGGTGTGGGAGGGGTCCGTGTACGTATTGATACCCCGATAGCACACGTACATCACAGATGTCTATTTGACATTTACAACTGCAAGATGCATTTATTTGAGTGTTTGCGCATCTGCAATACGTCTATAGGGCGTTTTCTATCAGATGTTGAATAGACGTTTAGAATATGTCTTTGAGATGTTAGGATTTAGGATGTAGGTAAAACTGACACCTTATAGACATTTATCAGCTGTTTGTACACAGCAGATGCTTTCCAGATCAAGCGATCTTTAACAGACATCTTGCAGACGTGTGCTAGTTTTTTTTTATTTGAAATGAAATGACCAGAAATGAGAAAACAGTGCCTTTATTCGCTTTTCCGTGAGATTTCAGCTTGATTTTTCTTTTATTTGTTTTGTTTATTATTTTGGTTCACAGCTAGAAAACTATTGTTTTGTTAAAACAGAACTGAGTTTGTCTCATAAGACGCTGAAAGAGGCGTCTTACACTCTAAAAAATGCTGGGTTGTTTCAACCCAACTTTGGGTCAAATATGGACTAACCCAACCGTTGGGTTAAATTTTTACATTACATTTTTAACCCAAAAGTTGGGTTAGTCCATATTTGACCCAAAGTTGGGTTGAAACAACCCAGCATTTTTTAGAGTGTATGATCGCCGACATGTGGAAAATGAATTTTGTAGTCATTTATCCATTTTCTACGCATGAACCAAAAAGCTAAAAAAATTAAATCTTTTTTTTTTGAACAAACAAACTAATAAAGGTGCAGTTTTCTTGTCTCTGCTTATTTAATTTCAAATTGAAACTATAAAAACGTACATGGATCCCCAATATAGATTTAAATATAGGCCCAATTTTATGCAATTTTTGTATTATATATTGTATTTTGCATTTGATTTACAATTTCTTTTTTAATAAAAAAATCTTACACCTGCAGAAAAAAATACTGTTGGACAATGTTTAATATGATGTAGCTACACTCTAAAAAATGCTGGGTTAAATACAACCCAGTGCTGTGTAAAATAGGGACAAACCCAGCAATTGAGTTGTTTTGACCCAACGGTTGGGTTACTACCCAGAAGGTTGGGTTAACCATTTAACCCAACCGCTGGGTCAAAACTTACATGAGATGAAGATATCAGTCATATCAGTGTCCTAGAAAAATCTATTTTCTACACAAACACTGACTATACCTAAATTATAAACAATGCATATATATATATATAAAAAAATACACATTCCTTTGTAACCATTTTCAAAAAAGGAAAGAAAAAAAAACAGGTACAAAAGAGATAAGAGATGATTGTTTTAACAGTGAATCAGTGTAGGGCGGAAGTTGATGTATGAGTTTGTCTTTTCTGATCAGATTTTCTGGATGTGATTTCAAAACCCAAAACAACAACAGTAGCCACACCCACCAGAGCAGAGATGACCAATTGGATCACAGCTTTAGTAGTGTCACAACAGCAGACACATTCTGAGTCTGAGGGGATAAAAGAACAATAAACATACAAAATGACTGATAATATGCTGCTGACTTACATAAATAAACACTAATGTTACCTGAATGTATCTGACAGAGTTGACTGATATCCAGATGTTGAGTCTGGTTGCTGATGGGATTGTTGAGCACACAGCTGTAGCTGTTTTTCTCCTGATATTCCACCTCCAGATGTAAAGAGACGGTGCTGCTGAGATCAGACACACTGATGCTGGACAATAAACTGTTTCCTTTGTACCAGGAGAGACTCACATGACCCACATTCACCACTGAACACACCAATGAACAATATGATGATGATGATGATGAAGAACAACAGTCTCTGCTAATGACAGGAGCAGGCAGACGAGCTACAAAAGATTAGAAACATTTACATTACATTAAAAAAGATGAATAATGGCTTTATTCCAAATTGTAGATTTGAATGTTGCAAGGAAGTATCCATGAGCTGTTCATGAACACCTCGCTATTAAAGGAATAGTTCACCCCCCCAAAAAAAATTGATGTAGATGAGTTTGTTTCTTCATGGAAACAGATTTGGAGAAATTTAGCATTACATCACTCGCTCAGCCATGGATGGGTGCCGTCATAATGAGAGTCCAAACAGCTGATAAAAAAAATCATAAGTAGTCCACATTAATTCCAGTCCATCAATTAACATCTTGTGTAGTGAAAAACTGTTTAAAAAACAAATCCATCATTAGGACTTTTTAACGTTAAACCATTGCTTCTGGCCACAATATAAGTCCATAATCCATAAGAACACTCATTCTGACGGCACCCATTCACTGCTGAGAATCCACTGGTGAGCAAGTGATAGATTGCTTAATTTTTCCAAATCTGTTCCCATGAAGAAACAACTTCATAAATGACGTGAGGGTCAGTAAATATTTCACAGATGTTCATTTTTGGGTGAACTATTCCTTTAAATGGCTACATTGTAATTTATATTTATAATATTTGTAAGTTATATGTACTGTTATAATTTATAGTTTATGTTGCACAGATGCTTATATGACAACAGAGAAATATATAAATTAGTGCCAAATACAAATAAAGTCAGCTGGATTTGTGTGTCGAGTCTGTAGTTCTTAACCCACCATAAACAGTGACATTGAATGTTTTCCTTATCATCTTATTTCCAATGATCTGTGTTTTATAAATTCCAGAGTGGTCGGTTCTGATGTTCCTGACAGTGAGAGATCCAGTCTGGGGGTCCAAATGCAATCTGTCTTTGAATCCTTTGGTACTTTCAGATACTGAGATGATCTGGGCTGATCTGTTGACTTCAGCCATGGGAGAGTCTTCGGCTCCGAATCTCCATAAAATCAGATCATCTTTTTTTATTTCAGTATCAGTCTGTAGGGTGACAGAATCGCCCTCCATCACTGACACTGAATTAATTTCTTCTGTCTCAACACCAAACGCACCTGACGAACAAACAGCGATGGTTATTCAGTTATTAAGTAACTTCCTATTGGTTCAGCCTTTTAAATTGTTTAATTATCCAATTGGTAAATTATTTAAATTGATTTTTTTTTTACTATTAAAATAGCCATTATAAAGTATAAATATGATTAAGAGTTTGTGTAAACAGACATTTTGTTCGTTAGTATCTAACAAATTCTGAAATCCTTAGCTAATTTCAACAATAGCTTTTTACTTACCAACATGACCGAACAAAGACAAACAGAACAAAACAAACGCATGGACCATTTTTAAGTCGCTCACCCAACAGTCAATAACTCAAAACACACTCAAAGTGACCAGTCGCTGCATGTGAATCCTCCCCTGGCAGGATGTGACACCTTAGTCTGCACATACTAGCTGTGGTTGCAGTGGTTATGTTGGAGTCACAACATGTGTTTTAATATGTAACTTCTTATTGGCGGAAAGCCTTCTTTAACACAGGTAGTTAATATGGTCTTGTTTGCTGTATCACATATTTTTAAAGGTGAAATTAAGTCAGAGCACAATATTTGAGTGAATGTTGGGTAAATAAATCATCAAGTTTTGTTTGATGTGGAATTCAGACGATGATATTCATGTCAGCAAAAGAAAAGAAACCCTTCACTCACAAACTACATAATGCGAACTCTCTTGCCCGAGTGAAGTTGTCCACCAAACAAATGAAACCACATCTTGTTCTAGTTAAATAAACGAGACCACAACAGGTTTCACTTTGACTCACAAACTGTCACACATTCAGAGAATCACATACATGAGAAAAACATCTACTTTCTGTGGGTCAATTTTAGAATGCGTAATTTAAATAAAGTACCATTGAGTCTATTTATACTATTAGCAAGCTGCAAAATTAGACCTTTGGTTTTAAGACAATATGAAAATGTCATTTGAAAATTTTGATGATTATTGTGCTGACTTGGTTTTAAATGATGCTGCTTTTAAATTTACTTTGCATCCACACACAGTAGTAGGCATATACTTAAAATCCCCAGATTGTGTGAGAACAGAATATAACTCCCTTTTTTACTGTGGACTTCAGCAAGTATAATTATTAAAGCAAGACAAAACATGAAATGTATTTAATTTGATATACTCTCGGGTGCTCTTAATCAAGTGAATTTTTTTGTGCACTGCTTGTTATATCAAGTGAGCCCGAGGAAGTCTATTGCCATTCTTGCTCTTCTGTACGCTGATCGGGCTCTCTAGCAACCCCAGCTAACACAAATACGTGACTGTTAAAGGGGTGCTATTATGCTTTTTCACTTTTTCCAACTTTAGTTAGTCTGTAATGTTGCTGTTTGAGCATAAAAAAAGATCTGCAAAGTTACAAAGCTCAAAGTCCACTTCAAAAGGAGATATTTTATTTAACAGAAATCACTTTTCAAAAACTACAACGAACAACTCGTTTGGACTACAACGCATATTTTTCGGGATTTGTGATAGCTAAACTGCAACCAGTGGTGGTTTCTTCATTACCAGTGTTGCCAACTAAATTTAGCAACTTTTCAGACTACTCTAGCAACTTTTTCTTCCAAAAGCAACTAGCAATAAATTTAACTATTTTTTTTATTTATTTGGCAATTTTTAACAAATTTTGTACCTGCGATTGTTGATCAGTTAGTGCACTGGTAAGAAAAATATCTACAAAAATGGAAAAGGTAGTAATTTTCCAGGACATTATCTGTTATCCATTATCCGTTGTGAAACGCAAAATACAATGCGTAATTTAAAATGCAGGTAAAAAGCCTCTGGAAAAATTAATACAGAAAATTCCTTCATATTAACATAATAACACTTCTGACATGTTGCCGGTGTAGTGCCGAAATTTGCACTCTCCCAAATTATGCACCCCCTAGTATTGGTAGGTTTAGGAGTAGGTGTGGGGGAGGGGTTAGGGTTAGGTGTGGGGGAGGGGAGGGGTTAGGATTAGGGGTGGGGTAGGGATTAGGCAATCAGGTAGCGACTTCAACGAGGGAGTGCATCGGCAGGCGTGCAGAATTCGGCACAACACAATAAAAGCGTCAGGGTCTGGGTGATTATATGATCCCATATATGATTAGAAAGGAGACTATATAGGCTAAATCACATTACCCAGGCGGGGTAGTCACCTCTCATCTCGACCAATCACGTGAATGAATGCAAGCGGCGTGTGTGGGGCGCCAGAGCATGTCTGTGGAGGCGTGCAGAGTAGTAGAATAATAATTAATTATTGATTACTAATTTGAATCAGTACTTTATAACAAAAATAATATCTTAAAATGAAAAGAAGTAGGCTTTTGCGATCACATATTTTTTAAACCGGTAAACTCCTGGAAAGTCCAAAGATCCAGTAAACTGCCAACAGCGCTAATGCAGAGAAATTCTGCGATTGCGGAGAGAGTAGTGACTTACCACTTACGTCCAGATGTCAGTAAAAATTATTATTTTCAGCGTGTATTTGGCTTAAAAGCAAGAGTGTTTTATAATGAACGCTAATTATGCGGTGGTCAGAGATTTAGCGATTCTGAATGGATCTGTAGAGTAGTAAAGGCAGGCGATTTAGTGGTCTTTGGCGTCTCCCTGTGGTCCTGTTTGATGCTATTTAAACTAAGTACAAATAGCTATTTATACTATATTAAAATAGCAGGATATTCTACTAATTACTTATTGCCAATGGTGGCAATTATCTGCACCTCAGCATTGTAATACATTATAAAACAGTATGCAATAATAACTTATTGAGTGTAAATTTTAATTTGAATTCAAATTATTAAATGGATGCCACCTTATTGGGACAAAAGCCCTCCCTACACCTACCCCAACCCTAGCCGATAGTGTTTTCAACTTTTTGATTATTTCCTTCATTTTTATTAAAAAAAATTATGCTTTTCTGATGCAATTTGTATGGAAGCCCGTTTCCGCCACTGAATAAAAAATAAAAGAGGTAATTGTGACTTTTTATCTCACAATTCGGACTTTTTTTCAGCAGAATTGCGTGATATAAACTCGCAACTGCGAGTTAAAAAGTCATAATTGAGAGATATAAACTCGCAATTGCGAGACATAAAGTCGCAATTCTGAGAAATAAAGTCACAACTGCGAGATATAAACTCACAATTCTGAGAACATATCAGTCTTTTTACCAGCAGGGACTGGCGCTCTCTCTGGCAGCGGCAGGTCCCCAGATCCCTCATCCCCAGATGCCACGGCAGCTGCCACCGTCTTTCTCGCTGTTTCTGCTGTTTGCTCAGTAAAACTACACTGTACTCAGTGGCGTGCGGTGGTGTTTTTTTAAATGATGATGCAAAGTTCCCACAACTGTATTATTATTATTATTATTATTATTATTATTATACATTTTGTATCAGTTGCCATAGTTCTTGCCAGGAGTCAAAGGCCAGAGCTGCCAGAGTTCGTGGCAGCTGCCACTAGTCGTTTCTGGCAGCTGCCACCATCTTTCTCGCCGTTTCTGCTGTTTGCTCGGTAAAACTACACTTTTCTCAGTGGCGTGCGGTGGTGTTTTTTGGGGGGTTTTGTTGCTTTTTTTTTTTACACAATAAAACAACCCGAACTTGATTTAAATGATTGACAGTAACAGATCTGACCTAATGTAACACTTAACAAAGACAGTCAGAGATATGACAGTATGACATATGAAAATGACATTTAACCATTGCCACCCCCCTCCCAAAAATGAATAAATAAAAACCAAATATAATATATTCATATTTAGGGTTTAGACACCGAGACATCTTAGACTTTACATACACTGTTAAGGAGACCGAGCATATTTGACATTATACTTATCTCTTTATACCATTTTCAGATTCAGAAATTCTAATAAAAAAATTCAAATTCTAAATAAAACAAGCATAAATAATTAAATAAAAAACAAATCAAATATATACATATTTAGGGTTTAGACACACCGAGACATCTTAGATTTTACATACACTCTTAAGGAGACAAAGCATATTTGACATTATACTTAATCTCTTTATAACATTTTCTCAATCAATGCAAGAAAAGAACCTCATATTTTCATATACAGATCAAGGCGTCCTGACACTCTAAATGGTTTTATTGTGTGTATATTTAGTGTTGAGTATTACTTCTGTCTCCTTTTTATTGTAAATTTGTTTTATGGTTATTGGCTTAATTCTACTTCTCTGTGCAGCACTTTGGTCGGCTCTGTCGTTTTTGAATGTGCTATATATATATAAATAAATTTAACTGCACTGAAACCGAAACTCATTAACAACAAAATATGAACTTTATAATATTAATAAAAAAGCTTGTCTTATGAAATAATTTTGTTATATCTCAAGTGCTATAATCTAGGACTAATTCTCTTGGTAAGTAAGTATACAACTAGAGTAATACCTTGAACTTTAACCTGCTGGTGGCGTTGACACACTTTCTAACACACCCATTCACTGTTTCAAATCGTTTGATAGTTGAGGTGTGTGAACTGTACCGCTGTGGGGAGTTTCTGGCTCTGCAGATCTACAGTCTGGTTCTCCATGACAGATCCCGTTGGGAAGTTTCAATGAATTTACTTCCTTATTTTGATCGGATTTAGCCCACTGATTTCCCAGCATTTAAATCAAGAACATTTCGCATTTCACTCGTATAAACGCGACCTACTGATCTGATCTGAAGTCGGTTAAATATGACAAAATCATCTGTAAAAGTGAAATTATATCACCTTGCGGTTTAGCTCGTTTAGAAACTGATTGGACGAACTGATCAAACGTTTTGAGACTCAACGGAACGGTTTAATAACTACAATGGACAACTTTTACTGCTCTTTTACTCATAGAAATATGGAGGCGTTTGTTTTATTTTGTGTTACGTTACTCGTGGATGGTGAGTAGATATAAATGGTTTTCGATACTTAAATATCTAAAAATGATTTGAATATAATATAATATTAACATATTCAATTTCTGAAGTAATGTTTTGATCTGTTTTATGGAGCTTAAACTCAAAAAATGCTTGTGCTGATGTTTGTCTGTCCAATATTCACTAACTCAATATTCAGTGATCTTAACTGCAACTCACTTTTTCTTATGGCCACTTTTCATTTTGTTGTTCCTGTTTTCACAAAATATCCGGCGGGACTTGAAATGTGGCCTGAACCTGTGAAGATTTGATATCCACACACCACTCCATACTATAAGCACCATACATTATGACTATATTAATCCTTAAACAAGACTCAGTGATCTCAGTTGAATTTGTTCAGCTTAAATCTCTAAAACGGTCTCTCTTCTGCAGGTGTGTTTGGTTATACGGATGAAGTGAAGTCCGTGTCAGTGATGGAGGGAGATTCTGTCACTTTATATACTGATCTTACTGAAATACAGAAAGCTGATCTGATACTGTGGACGTTTGGATCTGACAACACTCGAATAGTTCAAATCAACAGAATGGCCAATAAGATCTCATTATATGAGGATGCTCTTGATGGGAGATTCAGAGACAGACTGAAGGTGGATCTTCAAACTGGATCTCTGACCATCACAAACACCACAACTCAACACACTGGAGTTTACAGATTTTTGCAGATCATTGATGGAAAAGAGGTCCTGCCCAAGAAATTCTGTATTATTGTTTCTGGTGGGTAGTTTTCGAGATGCATTCAGTTTGATTACATTGCATCACATGTATCCATTATAGACTTTATTTTCTCATGTTTTCCAGCTCATCTGCCTGTTCCTGTCATCAGCAGTAACTCTTCACAATGTTCTTCATCATCATCATCATATTGTTCATTGGTGTGTTCAGTGGTGAATGTGGGTCATGTGACTCTCTCCTGGTACAAAGGAAACAGTTTATTGTCCAGCATCAGTGTGTCTGATCTCAGCATCAGTCTCTCTCTACCTCTGGAGGTGGAATATCAGGAGAAAAACAGCTACAGCTGTGTACTCAACAATCCTATCAGCAACCAGACTCAACATCTGGACATCAGTCAACTCTGTCAACCATGTTCAGGTATGGCAGCGCTTTTTCACAGAGCTGGTCATATTCACGTATGTCAATAACTATTTTTAGCAGTTCCGATGCTGATACAGTATCTCTCTTTCCATTATAGCACCAGGTTTGTCCGCAGGTCATATAGCACTGGTTTGTGCTTGTGCTCTGGCTGTGGCTGCAGTTTTGTGTGGTATTTATTATTACTGCCAGCGCAAGATGCGTAAACAGGCAGATAAAGGCGGTACGTGTTACTTGTAGCTAATTTAAAAGAAAAAATATGAGTGCAAAGTATTGTTTTGTAAGAAAGTTTGCATTTATTTCTTCATAATTTTTTTAATTACGCCATTCTTTTTTTTTTTACAGATGAACCTGACGGAGAGGAACTCAAGAGCCTAAAAGGTGAGATACAATTTAACTATGTGTACAGATTCTTGTGTTTTTGATGTAGCTTCATTCTTTCCATTGTGACATTAAACATCATCACAAAAAACTTGAAAGTTATAATATTATAATCAGTGCTGGGGAAAAAGTAATGCATTACAATATTGCGTTACTCCATTAAAAAGTAACTAACTGCGGTACTTAATTACTGTTCATGTAAAGTAAGACATTGCATTACTTTTGCCTTAGTTTTTGTCTCTGGGCTTGCGTATTTATTTTTTAATAACAAAAAAGCCAAAAGTTATATTTTTGTCAACTGTAAAAGCCCTTTCATGAAGCCTCAGACTGAAGGAAGTGCCTCTGCACTTATTCCCAATTTCTTCCAACATGGGGACAGTCAATAAATGTGAAAAAAGTTACTTGCATTACTTATTTAATAAAGTAACTCAGATATTTCATTGTTTCATGCGTTACTTTATTAGTTAATTGAAAAAAAGTAATCCGATTACATAACTCGCATTTCTTGTAATGCGTTACCCCGACACTGATTATAGTTATGGGTGACAGAAGATTTAATTGAATCAAGTCATCTGATTTTTATTAAAGATGTAGTTCCTGAAAACAGTGTGGACGTTCATCGGCCAAACCATGGTACCATACTGCATTACTGAATCTCTCTGGGTGTTTGTGTTCATTTAAATCAGTATCGAGATTGATACGTATATCTGTGTTTTCAGCAGATGGGGAAACGTCTAATGAGGACAGACATTACAAGTTACTGTACAGCTTTGTGTACCTTGCATGACAGATACAATGGTGCCATATAATTAAGGCTATGATTTTGATTAAAACAGGTGCAGTTCCTTTGTTAGCTGTTGAGGTAGATGGTAAGATATCATGTGGTAATATGTTGTTAATATTGCAGATTAATGTTGTGAAGCAAATTAGCTCAGAAACAGTTAAAAATTGAAACTGGCAAAGTTTATCCCAACTAAAATATTTAAAACATGTTTTTTTTTAATCAATTTGTTTAAATCAACTTTTTAAAAATGTTTTTTTCTTGGTTATGCAAATGTTAAAGGAAACATTTAGGGAATAGTCCATGTATTTTATAATTTTGCAAACATTATGAAAATGTTACTTTTGAATGTTATCTGATCCATGAAACTAGTTATGTATGTACTCTGAACTTTTAAAAGCCCTGTTGTTATTTTTTTATGTTTAAGAAACCATTTTTGTTGGTTACGAAAACATTAAGGAAATGATACATTTTATAATTTAGCAAACGTATCTTAATTTTGAATGCTCTCTGAACCATGAAACTAGCAAGTAGTTATTTCTGAATGTTCTCTGGACTTTTAAAATATCCAGTTTGTTAAATGTTTAAAATATGTTTCTTTTTCTTGTTTATGAGATCATTCGAGAAAACGTTGAAGGAACACTGAACGAAAATTCTATTAACATTACTGGGAAAATAATTGTTTATAACTTAGTTTATAACTCTAAGAATGTTCCCCGTTATCTAAAACCAGAGTATAAGGTGAGGGTGAGCAGAAAACTGGATGATCTGGTTTATATTTTGTTCTCAGGTGAAGGGTGTGACTGAGACACAGCATGGGTTGTAACAAACACACTCTAGCATAAGTGCACTGTTCTTTTTTTAGAATAATCCTTTACTATGTAAAGGTATGCCATATTTTCCAATATATATGTCCGTTAAATATGTTTAAATTGTAATAATATTTCACAATATTACTACTTACAATATGTTTTTTATTGTATCACATAAATGCAGCCTTGGTGAGCAGAAGAGACCTTTTCCAGAAAATACAGTAGTACAACTGTGCATGCAGGATCTGTGTTTGTGCAAATCAGCATTTACTACAGATTAATATTTGTGTTTTGTTTTCACCAGGTGGGAACACGTCTGTTCAGGAGGGAGATTTAGAAACTAGTAAGTTGCATTGGATTTGTTCATTTATTGATGCTTTTGCCTAAAGCTATTCATCCTAAGTAGGGAGTAACTTGAAATGCTCCATTGCACAGTTATCAAATTGTTTAAAAAATGTACAGCCTAGTGAAAATACCTGGAGAGATTCATCTGGTTCAGGATGGAGTCTGATAGTGTTGAAGGCTGCATGAAGATGGATCATTGGGGCTTCGTCGGTGGATAGTGAGGTCGTTCTATGAGTGTTTAGTGTTGGCTTTTAACATTCAGGTTACCTGAATGTGGCAGTGAGGACAAGATGTGTTATATTTTATTTAAATTTTTACACTGTTTTCTCTGAACTTCTTTCCCTTGCGGATCCCAGTTTGAAAACCCCTGCGATAGACCTTAATGATGTTATATAACACCATAGTGAATTTAACACGGTTGAAATCGAGGCTGTGAGGGAAAGACTTAAGCCCCGTTCACACCAAGAACGATAAGTATAAAGATAACGATATTAGCGTCCACAGCGAACGATATCGTCTGTTTATTCTAAGCACAAACGCGTCTGCTTCTTTAAATACTCGAGCTCGTTACAGCAGGATGGATTCTGAGTGGCTGTCAATTTTTTTTTATCGTTCATCAGCTGGAGAAAAATCTTTTGAAAGTGATTCCAACGATATCGTTTCTCTTTGTCTTTATCGTTATAGTTGTGGTGTGGACTCTGCTATTCTTTAATATTGAGAACGATTTTTAGAACGGTATCTTTATCGTTATCTTTATAGTTATCGTTCTTGGTGTGAACGGGGCTTACAGTCTTTACAATGGCACGCATGATATAAAGGTTCTAAATCATATCATTTTCACAACCCACAACTTTCAAAACTGTTTATGGAGTGTTTGTCTCTTGAAACTTTCTTTAGAAAGACGTTTCGTCAGCTGAATAATCGGTATGGTAAAAAAAAAAACAGTACTTCTGTCCCTCACAGCCTCGTTTGGAATGATCTTGTCAAGAATTAAATATAGCACTACCTGACAAAGGTCTGTAGAGGAATGTTAGAATCAGAATAAGTGTGTGAAGGAAAAACTAAAACAAATGAGGTGATGGTGAGCTGTTCCAAACAAGTCAAGCAAGGCTGACCCACTGACCCACAACTACAACACAGATTTGTGCAGGGAGTTATTATATCATAGAGAGGAGAGTGGTGTATTAGGTATCAAAAATGATCAAACCTGTTTGGTGGAAGTTGTGGGAGAAAGTGGGTGTTGCTGTGTCCTCTGGGCAAATCGAGGTCTGAAGCCCAGTATGCTGAGCTTTACTGACAAATGACAGACTGTTCAAGAGTCCCAAAGACAGAGAGAGATGAGGAGGTGAAAAGAAACTAGTATAGGCTTGTTGGATCATGTTGATCATGTACACAGTGCTTCCTCTGTGACATTTGTCTGCGTACATTGCTCGTGACGTGAATTTCATCATCAGAATAGTACGTACACCACCGGACTTTTGTAACCGCAGGCTGTACATACGCATTGACTTGTTTTTGCACTAATCAGTTGTTCCACAAGGTGGCAACACTGGCCCGGGCCGTTGTTTTTACAGTAGAAAACAAAACGAATGTACAAAGAAATTTTTATCGGTCATAACTTCTGGAGAAAAATATAGCAGATGCTTGACGAAGACGACGCTTTCTAGAGCGCATGTGTCGACCGCCTGCGTTCATGAACTCTTTACAATAGAGTACACCTTAAAAGGAAATGCGTTCGACTGTACGCGTATGCTATGAAGTATACTTTGGGCTTTAGGCTAATTCAACTGTAACTTGGTACACATGATCTAAAGACCCTCATGACAAAAACCAATCAGAAGAATTTCAGTTTTGTCCGATTGTTTTAAGTCGGAAACATGTCTCCTTATGTCTTAAGGAGTTTGACCTACAATGAATAATTACGTGGAATAACGGGGAATGCACTCACAACTTTTACTAATGTTTTTATGTTTAAGTTAAATAAATGTTAGGACAAATTTTTTGTTATGATTAAGTAATGTTAATGAAACGTTCTTGTTACTTATTAATATTTGATAGCTTAGCTTAGTTGGACAAGATTTTGTTTTCATCCAAAGTTGTGAATTAAATTGGAATATTGCATGAAATATTTGCGAATAAAACACAGTTTCCATCCCACATGTTTTTTCATTGTCACTTCCTGGGAAACTGGCGCGAATTATAACTTGCACATTTGAAGGTTTTCTGTTCATCTTGTCGTTTCTTTCAAGTGTTTTTAAGGCGATACCCCAAACATTGCATACAAATACATGGATGGAAACAGAATTTGAATCTCCATCTAAAAAACGGTTTTCTATTTGTTCTCCAGGTGTGCTTCTTAAGGAAGATAAAATCACATCAGTGCCAGTGATTGAGGGACAATCTGTCACGCTACACACGGATCTTACTGAAATACGGGAAATTGACATGATTTGGTGGAAGTTTGCAGATTCCAAAGAACGCAGTTGTGCTAAATTTGTTTTAATAGCTACGCTGAATAAAACAAACAATGAGGTAAACCTATATAATGAAACAGTTCAACAATTCAAAGACAGTTTGAAACTGAACCTCGATACAGGATCTCTCACCATCACAAGCATCACACCTGAACATTATGGATTTTATAAACTACACATCACCAGCAAAGAAGAGATGGTCGTTCATACCTTCAGTGTTGTTGCTCAGGTAGGTCAAGTCTTTTAAAGTAATATTTGTCTTACTAATAAAGAGAGATTGTAAAAGAAAAGTTTTATGTTCTTTGCATCTTTTTTGAATTATGCAGTTTTTCTGTCTTTGTCAGCATGTCATAATTTATTGTGAATAGTTACCAATCGCTGTAGTGGGGGACTAAATTAATTATTAGATTAATAGGAACTCTTTTACACATGCTTCTTTTCTTACAGAACCTAATGAGAAGAGAGCGGACCCAAAGACTTCTCCAGAGGAGTCAAACCTGCCCATGATTACAACAGATGACCTTATAGTATATAAAGACTGGAATATTATCCACATTTCAATTCCACTGACAAAAACAAGAAACATTTTCTACTTTTCTCAACAATCTAACATCCCTAATGACCAAAAAAAAAAAAAACTTTAATGACAAAGGTAAAGTTGAGTGTTCAATATGAACTGACATAAAACACAACATATGTCACACTACACTTGCATTTGTCCAAAAATAGAAGCTATTAACTGTAAACACAACAGTATATGCTACTTATATTTTCTGCATGTTGAATTTTGTTTTTCATTTGAATATGTTTTTTCCTGCATTCTCAGAAACCCTTGGAAAAGGAAACAAAGTATTTGCACATTTTATTTAAAGGGGTCATCGGATGCCCATTTTCCACAAGTTGATATGATACTTTAGAGTCTTAATGAAAGGTCTGTAACATAGTTTGGTTAAAATTTCTCAATGGTAGTGTAAAAAAACCCACCTTTTTTTACCCTGTCAAAAACAACTCATTTCAGATCAAGCCGTTTTGTTGCATGTCCCTTTAAATGCAAATGAGCTCTGCTGACCCCGCCCCTCTCTTCCGAGCCGCTCTCTGAGAGATTGTAAACTTTAGCCACATCATGAAACTTGCTAACTAGCACATTATTTGGAAAGGCCATTTGCAAAGATTCATCAAAAAACCTTATACTCACTTCTTCTGGAGGTGAAGCTGGATCACGAATGATTCGCACGTTTAGTCAAATCAGGGGCACATTCCCTTCAAAAACAAAAGTAATCCACTGCGTCTTCAGATGTCTGAGATGCCTCAGATGTCGGGAGTAAATGATGACTGCTATGTCCATTATTACATCCAACAACAGAACACCTTAATCGCTTAGGAGACATTCTGGTCTACACCTGCTCTGGCGGTGAAACAATGGCGGACTGATGACAGTCACTCAGGGCGGGTCTAAGGTAAGACACCAGTCCAGTCTACTGTCAATTAACTATCTTGGAGGGGCCTTGGCCTGTGTGATGTCACACAGCCAAGAATCTGAGAACGTCTTGATTTAAGAAAGGGGAAATGATTTAACGAGATTAAAAAAAACACTGGGTGTATTATAGGGTGGTTGTGTTCACACACTGCTAACACACATTTCAGTTCAAACAACTTGCAAAAGTACATGTCGCATCCAATGACCCCTTAGGGTGCGTTCACACTTGTCATGTTTGGTTCGATTAAAACAAACCCTGGTGCGATTACTCTGTTAGGGTGGTTCGTTTGAGTAAGTGTGAATGCTGCCATCCGAACCCTGGTGCGCACCAAACAAGCGGACCGAGACTGCTAAAAAGATGGGTCTCGGTCTGCTTCCAAACGAACTCTGGTGCGGTTCGAATTATATATGAATGCAACATGGACCAAATACTTCTAAACAAACCAAAAACAGGAAGTAATGACAAGATTACGACACTATGCGACATGATTTGACGACAGGGTGTAACCAAAACAAAATGAGTAGAGGGCAAACGTGGAGCAACGATGAGGTAAAGTGCCTTTTATGAGCACCTTGTGAGTTTGCAGGTGGTGAAAATAAAATTATACGTACACGCAAGAATGAGTGCGCTTAGTCCAGCAGACGGCATTAGGTGTGCTAGGTGTGCACTTAAAGCGGCGTTGAGCAGACCGATCGGTTAATGTGTGCTTTGATATCACACACCCGCAACGCCACTTTAAGTCTAAGGCACCTTTTGTTTGGGGTGTTCGGTGAGTTCCATCACGATATATTCGTCATTCAAGCCAACCAATCAGGGTGTGAACGTATCACTATTAATCTTTAGGTTCGGTGTCTTTAGGTTCGCTGTCAAAAATGCCAATGTGAACGCTAAGCGTACCAGGACCAAATGTATAATTTTCCTTTTTGGTCCGGACCAAACGAACCAAACTACAGTGTGAACACCCTAATAGTGTCATGTTTTTTTGATAACACTATTTTGAAATAATGTGGGGGGTTTATATATATATATATATATATATATATATATATA